CAAACAAATGATTACGATAAAATCAGAAACAAAATACCGGTTGAAAGATGGAAATCAAAACAATAACGTCATAAATCATTGTAAATACTCAAATCATTGACACAAAAATGCTAGCTTGCAACAATGATTATTAATATGGTTATTCTGAATTACTATTCAAAATTTCTACCCGATTTGTATTTTACAAAAGCTTAGATAAATGTGAAAAACAGGAAGTTAGGAGAAACAATGTAACGTTTTCTCGTATTTTTCACCTAATATCTTACATTTTAATGATTTTATTGATCAGCAGATCTTTATAGGCCGATTAAACCCTGCAAGTGGCCGGTCATTCATTGCCTACAATAGCCTTTAATTTTACCTTCTCATGTTCATATATGAACAAAATTTTTCAAACTATACGAGGAAACGGAGGAATTTTTTCTCATCCAGTCATCTTAGAAACTGTTAAATCAGCGAAGAAATCATCACAGAGAACCAAAAACCCACATAAAAACTTCGCCTACAGTTCACAGTCGGACCCGAAATTTCTTCAAACAAGGAACATAACAATTTTCTATTGCATTACAAAGCACCCAAAAAGTTCCTACAGTTGGAAAGCCTTGTTCAGGTTAGATTAATTTGTAACCTTAAGTCACTTTTTCAGTGTATTTTCTAAAGGCAATAGAAAGCTGCAGGATTGTTAAGAGGTTGTCAAACATGACTTGAGCCTCGTCCAGCCAATCCTGGCTTTGAGTTCACTCAAACTTATTGTGAAGTTCGGCCTTGTGAGCCGAGACTCTATTCATTACTGCTTTTTGACTTCAACATTATTTTTAGCGCATTTTCTCATTTATGTAAAAAAGGCGCTATTGTGCTCGCCATGTCCGTCTGTCCGTCTGTCCGTCTGTCTGTCTGTCTGTCCGTCCGTGACTTCATTTTTTCGTCGACGAGAAAATGCGCTCTCTGTCACTCACTGCAGTGGGTGCCGAGTTATATTTTTTGTATACTATAGGTGGTTACACTTATAGGTTCCAAATAATTTTTCATAAATTTATGTAGCAAAATGAATTACTTGTATCTGCAATAAATTTTGAATTCGTCAGACATTTTTGAAAATTTAATCAATGGAAAACTTCAAAATTCATTTTTTTGCCACCGAAATAAATACGTGCCTAAAATTATGCAAACTTTACAATTGATGAGAAAAATTCATTTAATACCGAAATTCACCACACATAAACACAAGACGTATGCAATTCAATGCATAACATTAGAGTGCACAAAATGCACGTAATTTCATGCACAATAGTAAAGTACACAGGACACACACACATATGCAAGATTCCTGCGCACCGCTGCTTATATGAAAGGCTAAAACACACATACATATGTATTATGTATATTAAATAGATACACATACGTTACAAGAGTTACAGCTACGTTATTACCAAGTTACACTCGACGACTGTGGTTTTCACAGAGAGATTTTAACTGATAATGGGTTTTAATAGTTATTGTTTCAATGGACTGAGTGTTCATGTGTTAATGTTATTAATTAATAGCTTAATTATTATTATTTTTGGATAGAAGTTGTTGTTGTTGTGACGTGATGCTCTATAAAATCAGTGGTTATTATTTGATAATCGTTTTCAAATATTTTTAATGCTTTACACGGCTTCAAATTATTTTGAATAATCGTGATTAGCCAACAATGATAGATAATTATTTTTAATATTCTTCAGTTAGAGTTAATTAATGGGCTTACATGTTTGTCGAAAAAAGCCCAACATTAATAGCATGCAATAGAAAATATTATGTCTATAATATAGAAAATATAATAATTTCTAATACATGCTCAATAATTTCGACGATGATAACTTTTGGGTTGCGGTGGACTAATGGATGGCTGGAAAATATGGCTAAATTTAAAAATTAATTAATAGTAATTTCTTGCAATTTTGACGAAAAGTATTTCTTAATGAGAATTAAAACTTTTTCATTTATGAAAATATTTAAATTAAACTTTCGACATGGAATACGATTTTTTCAATAGCTAACCAAATATTTACTATTGCATGGAGTTTTTTAAATTTGCTTAAATATTTATGATTATATATTTCAGAAGGTTAGCATATATGTATTATTGCTATACATTTGTGTAGGGGACTATAGTATTTGCGAATGGAAGAACTTTTTTGTATAGTGTTAAAGTATTTATGATTGCATGCAATTTTTGTTGAAGTTTCGAGATTTCTTATGTAATGTTTTGTAACGGATATGTAGTGTTTTGTAATGGATTATGTTATGTTTTGTGAGATTTAGATTATCAGCATTTCTAATCACGATCTTTGAGTAATAAATTATTAAACGCATGTTTCTATTTACAGTTGAATATTTTAATACTTAATAGCAGTCTGTTATTTGAGTTCTCAAACTTTTTAACTGATGTAAATGCTAATATACGTATATTAACTGATGTAAATATGCGAGCCGTAATGGATAATCAATCTCAAATTTAAATCTCTCAAATGTATCAACCATTTGCTTTAAATACTGAAGCAAATCAGTCGAATGTGTATACAAAATACTTCAAAAATCATCTTCTGGTAGCCGTTATTTACACACCTGAGTGAAAAAATTTGCTGAAAACTTCAAAATTGACCTTAATTTTTTTAATTTTGAATTTTGAATTCAAATTTTTTTTTTAAATCTAATTTTTGAATTTTGAAATCTTTTGATGGAAAAGAAAATTGATAGTCGATATTTGTTAGAATAATGAGTTTAAAAGAAAATATTCTACAGTAGATTAAAATCTAAGTAAATATTTTACAATAGTTACAGTGTGATCATAAAGTATTCTAGAACACATTGAAGCTCCAAAACACGCTGACCATTCACGAGAATGTCATTACTCTTGCACATTATTTTGATGTGTATGCACTACATGTTTAATGCGAACATGACACATGCTTTGTATACATGATGCTTAGAATATTTACATTCATGTAGGGATAAATTAATTGGTTAAACTATTCAATGAGAATAGCATGACAGAATTCATATAATTCTATCATCCTTTTATATATGTTAAGAAATTCATTTAATTCACTTGAGAGTTTAAACCAGTTAAAAAGAATAACCTATTTCTTTAGTGTAAAATGATCATTAGTAGGTAGTCCTTATATTTAACATAGCTATTACCAAAACATTCAGTCACTGCTGAAAATGTTTTGGTTTTTCCTACATTAACATGCATTCATTTCCTCCGAATGTAGTATACTTTCGTATTTCTTTCTGAGATAATGTAAATTACTGATTGAATATGTGAAATGCACGAATACAACTTTTTCTGCACAATTATTATGTACAGCGCACCAAGTTATTACTTAGTTACTTGATGTACAGCGTGCCAAGTTATTACTTAATTACTTGATGTACAGCGTTATGTACAGCGCGCCAAGTTATTACTTAATTACTTGATGTCCAGCGCGCCAAGTTATTACTTTATTACTTGATGTACAGCGTGCCAAGTTATTACTTAATTACTTGATGTACAGCACGCCAAGTTATTACTTAATTACTTGATGTACAGCGCGCCAAGTTATTACTGAGGAGGTTCCTCACACGAGGAATTTTGTTCCGTTGTTTAAAAGTATTGATGATGAATTGTACGTTGCTTTTAATGCAGCAAATGTCGCTTTTTTAGTTTCAAAAGTGTCAAAAATTTCTATACAGTCGTTATCAATTTTTTCGATGTAAATTTCCAGGACTGAATAGTTAACAAATACTGAATATTACACTTGATAGACGAAAGATCTTCCTAAATCAAACTAAAGTTTACGGTTTCTGTTACTCTGGAGGCTTTTTCAGTTTTTTGAATGTCAGATATATCAATTAATGAACACTTTTGTATTTCAAGCTAAAGATAATCTCCTATTCCCCATTTCTCAACACTTCATTGGAAATCTTTTAATTTGATAAACTTATTCGTGTTAGCTATCACATATTCACAAATCATCTAATGACTAAAACAGTATGATATGATTGCAATACTTTTATGTGATTTGGCGTGATGGAATAAGTTTTTTACATTTATAATTATCAGCATGAATGGCTGTTTATGAACACGCCTGAAGTCGGTTAAAGATTTTATATGCTCATATGAATCATTTTACAGATAATTTTTTTAATTGTTCCAATACAGAAATAGTTCATATTTAGCACGCATTATTCCTATGACCATTTAAGAAGCGTGCGCTATTTTTCAGAGGTATTTTAAACACCAGTCTATGCCTATAATAACCTATTCAATTCTTTCATATCTATTACATTCGTCAATCAAACTCCATGGACTCAAGATTAGTTTACACATAGAAATTAACATCAATTGGAAGCAAAAGCAACAATGGACACATGCTGTGAGTCAAAAAATATGTACCCGTACCATAATACTCACTAAATCGCTCACTAAAAACACATTTTCAAAGAACTACTTTATTCCGCTCACTAAAAACACATTTTTTTTGCCTCAGCAGTGCGTTCTTTCCACTTTCTTCGACGTTTGAATTTTTCTTCTGGATAAAAAAACATTCATTTGCTTACCAAGACCTGTGAGCCTTTAAAATTCAAAGTATTTTTCTCAAATAATATCAAACGTTAAGCCTTTCATGAACACTAAACTTCACTAAGACGTTCAATTAAAACGCCTATCATGAACACTAAGCGCTACATAATCGTCATTAAATTGAATTAAATCAAATAACATTAATTTCAACGCCTTAGCTGGAGATGAACGTGCGTTACACTAAACTTCACTAAGACGTTCAATTAAAACGTTTATTATCAGCACTAAGCGCTACATAGTCGTCATTAAATTGAATTTAAGTAAATAAAATTAATTAGAACGCCTATCATGACTAAGCGCTGCATAATCGTCATTAAATAAAATTAAATAAAATTAATTAGAACGCCTATCATGAACACTAAGCGCTACATAATCGTCATTAAATAAAATAAAATTAATTATAACGCCTTAGTTGGATATGAACGCGCGTTCTAAGCGCGTGTCCCGCGACCACAGAGACGCTGGCCCACAACATCAGCACAGCGGGACCGCAGGCTCGGGCTCCGGACCCGCCGGGCAGAGGGAACATGAAGTCCGAGGGCCTACGGTGGTAGTGGCCTTTGGGGTCTGGGGAGGAAATTACCACAAAACATTATTTACTGAGACATTGTCATAATGTAAAAGGTTCAGTTCTGTTTTTAGCGCATTTTCTCATTTATAAAAAAAATTTGCTCGTCATGTCCGTCCGTCCGTCTGTCTGTCTGTCCAGCGCATTTTCTCATTTATGAAAAAAATGTGCTCGTCATGTCCGTCCGTCCGTCCGTCCGTCTGTCTGTCTGTCTGTCTGTCCGTCCGTCCGTAACTTCACGGACGGACGAGAAAATGTGCTCTCTGTCACTCACTGCAGCGAGTACTGAGTTATATTTTTTCCTCTTTGGTATCAAATTTGTGGTCAACTTGCTATTCATGCATTTGAGTTACATTAATAGGATATTAATGATTTTTTATAAAAATATTGTATTTATGATTTTTAGGGGCAAATATACGATTTAATTTCGTTCTGAAGACGTCGTGGGAGTTTAAGTTATTAAATTATTTTAACGTTGATAACTTTCTGTTCGATATAAAAGGAAGTCTGAATATAATTCAAATTACAGCTAACCAACTCTTAACGCAACGAACTGTAATATAGCAGCAAATAATACAATGTTTGAATTTTTAAAATAATGAATTTGTGTTATTAACAAACGTTAATGAATATCATGCACTGAATTTTCATTATAATAACAAGTAGAAAAGCAAGTTACAATGGAAGAATGATTTGTGAGAATAAATGCTGCTGCAAATAAGGCATATACGAATGAAACAATAAGTATAAATTTAAAAAATAATTTATTAGAGTAAAATCTGCTGCAAATGTGGGAAATACGAATGAAACAATAAATATAAATTAAAAAATGATTTGTGAGTGTAAAAGCTGCAGCAAATGTTGGAAATACGGATAAAACAATAAGTATAAATTAAAAAATGATTTGTAATTGTAAAAGCTCCTGCATATGTGGGAAATACGAATGTAAAAATAAGTATAAATTAAAAAATATAACTCAGTACTCACTGCAGTGAGTGACAGAGAGCGCATTTTCTCGTCGACGAAAACGTGAAGTCACGGACAGACAGACGGACAGACAGACAGACAGACAGACGGACATGACGAGCACAATAGTGCATGTTATCCATAAATGATAAAATGCGCTAAAAAATGATTTGTGAGCGTTAAAGCTGCTGCAAATATGGGAAATATGAAAGAAACAATAAGTATAAATTAAGAAACAAAAAGTGTAAATTAAAAAATAAACAGTACAAGTAATAAATTTCGACTGAGCGCTGACCTCGAGGTTGCTGCTTGGAGTGTCGGTTGGTGCCGGTGATGTCGTTCACTCCTGAACTCTCGTACTTGCCGCTGTGCTGCCGCTCTGACAAAAAGAGGTCAGACTTTAATTCTACATTTTCTTGCTTGTTAGAATGAAAAAAAGGTTACTAATATTTAATATCTCTTTTTAACCTATTTCCAAATGAGTTTCAAAATTTATTTTTTTTTCTCGCCATCATTATTCGCCAAAACAATGATCAATGAGCGTCTGTTTGCTCGCTAAAGCTGACTGTCAATTGCATAAACATTTGTTCTGTTGAAGATGTTATTTATCTTATCTTAATGTCACGCGCAGCGGTTGGTCTCTATTCCCACAAAATTTAATGCTTTCCACAAACTTAAAATATTTCAAGTCCTTTTCACGTTTAATTCATTGCTTTATTTAAATAATTTTAATGCATAACAACAATTATTCAAATGATTAGATGTCATCTCTATAAAGTGAATTATGAACATTGCGTGGGTGATGAGCCAGTCATACTAACATTATTCGCGCTATTTTTCATGCCTGATTTCCATTCAAATAATTTAACAACATTTTCAATGAATAGAATCAATAAATGACACATTTAGAAAGGAAATTAATAAATATCTAAGTCCTTTGGGCGGGGTTCAAAAGTCACAATATTTCGTTTAACTTAAAGCTTAAATTTTTATCTTTACTTAAATAATTATGTTATAAACAATACATAATAAATAAATATACCCTATATTAGGGATGTCGAGGGCCGCTGTGTGAGGCGCTAGCAATGTTTTACAAATGTTTAATATTTCCATCGAATTCATTACCTTCTAATCAAGTTAAAATAAGTCACCTCTATTAAGGAAGTTTGTGTGGGTTCTGTAGGTACAATATTTTTAATAATTTAATTCATGAATTTTCATAACATCTTCATCTTAAATATATCTTCATCATCATAATGAAAACGATAGATAACAATTGAAGTTCACCTCTAGCATGAAAGTTGTGCGCTGTGCTGTGTGGGTTAAATAGTTTCAATGTTTCCATTAACTTTAATTCTTGAAATCTTTATAACATCTTTATCTTAAAAATATCTTTATAATAAAAGCAACAGCTAACAATAGAAGTTCACCTCTATTGAGGAATTTCGGGGAGGAAGTTTGAGGCTCCAGTAGTTACAATATTTCTATTAGCTTTAATATTCATAACATCTTTATCTTAAACATATCTATATCTACATAATAAGAACACTAGATAACAATAGAAGCTCACCTCTATTGAGGAAGTTGTGGGCCGTGATGTGTGGGTTCATTAGTTACAATGTTTCTATTAACGTTAATCATAACATCTTCATCTTATATATATCTATATAATAAAAACAACAGATAGCAGTAGAAGTTCACCTCTATTGAGGAAGTTAGGAGAAGTAGTACGAGGCTCCACTTGTTACAATGTTTCTATTAACTTTATTTCTTCAAATCTTTATAACATCTTTATCTTAAATATATCTTTATAGTACCACAAATAGATAACAATTGTTGATTGATAACAAAGTTCACCTCTATTAATGAAGTTAGGGGCTGTAGTATGTGTCTCCACGACGCCATACTCCGGCCCCAGGTCATCACCGTAGCCAGGGTAGTGCACGTCCAGGCCTGTCAGGCTGTACGTCGGCTCCGTGGCCGGCGGCTCGATCTCTGCAAGCAGGTACAGAATTATTTCATAATGATTAATAATGAGAACTTTTTATCATTAAGAGAATAAAATACTATAAATATTTCAGTAATATAATTAATAATGATACCTTTTATAGGATAAAAACAGATTTAGACGATAAAAACATGTTATTTAGAGATCAAAACAATCTATACGTGATGTAGATTCTCCATAACTACTTTATTAATTCGAATTATCTTTGGATTTCTCACGAATTAAACGATAGCTTTTTCATCTTTTCCTCTGTATGGGATTTTTTCAAACATTTCGGTTATAACACATGCTTAAGCATAAGTAAATTCCACTAAACAAATTCAAAATATTCTGAAACATCTATCGTAGATTAAATTCAAATTTAAAGTAAATAACCTTAAAATTTGGTTCTGCTTATCAGAAAACGGAATCAGGGCCAACCCCTCGGTAATAATAACATCATTTAAAACTTTTTAGTGCGGAATATATCAACATTTACAAAGATCGTTTAAATTTCTTCGTTGAATTAGAAGTATTAGAAAATAAAATTTTGTGGAACTTTAATCGCCGAATTCAAAACACTAATGCAATTATTTATTTTGAAATTAAAATTAGAAGCACTGTCTCCCAATGGCAGTTTCATCAGTATTAGAGTCCAGTAACATATTCATTTTATAATAAATATATGCTGAAGAAATTCCATTTTACGTTTAATGCAGTTTCATTACTTCACAATTAACTTTTTTTCATCATCTATACAATCTAGTATCATCATCAGATGAATAAATCGTTGTGCCAACTTCGTTGAAATTAACTGCATAATATTCACCGCAATAACTTAGTGATAATCTCACAACGACAATTTTATTAACTTATCAATTAGTATGTTCTTATGACCACTTAAATGATTATACAATACCATAGCATTACACATCACCTCACCACACCACAACACATCACCACACCACAACACATCACCACACCACAACACATCACCACACCACACCACAACACATCACCACACCACAACACATCACCACACCACAACACATCACCACACCACAACACATCACCACACCAGAACACATCACCACATAACATCATAACACATCACCACGACACATCACATCACCACACCACACCACACCACAACACATCACCACATCACAACACATCACCACACCACATCACAACACATCACCACACCACATCACAAAACGTCACCACACCACATCACAACACATCACCACACCACACCACACCCGCTTGCTGTTGCTGTGTTTGCCGCTTGTGCATGTAATTGTGTTGCATAAAACCGTTCTCGAGATCATCAATGATGCGCCGGGGAGACTGATTTAAATAACGCGGGTTTTTTAACCGTCAAACTTACGATAAAACTCAAGAGAGGCCTTTGAGAGGGCCGTTTGATCAAGCTCGTGGAGTGGGCGGGATAGAGTGGGGTTATATACTTCGGGATGTTAGTTGAGTGGGCTTCATACACTTGGGGATGTAAGTTGAGTGGGCTTCATACACTTGGGGATGTAAGTTGAGTGGGCTTCATACACTTGGTGATGTAAGTTAAGTGGGCTTCATGCACTTGGGGATGTAAGTTGAGTGGATCACATACAATAGATAACAATGAAGTGATCATAATCCTCAATAGAGTGTTTCTGGTGCACTGAGTGCAGTGTTTTGTACTGGACAAAATTTCTTACGCACGGCCAGGACTTGGCTTATGCGCTAGATGGTTTTCATCTAAATAATGAAGTAGCGCTCTATTCCCTGTATACAAACACGTATATTTCTCTCCTTGATGATTTTTTGCAACACTTTGTGTCACGTCCAGTACGCGCATTACGTGTAATTTTGTATTCGTACGTTAATAGCGCGGACATCACAGTATCCAAATTCACGGCCGCCCCGCCTGCACACTGTGTTGATAACTTGTGCTGGGAGCATCGCTACAGCTGCGCTACTCCATAGTCCGCTTAGCATAAGTGTTATAAATGTTTTGTCTATTTATTGTGAGTTGTGAATCTTATCTCTTCCGTTGATATTGTATCTTAGTGAGTCATGCTATGTATGTATATTTATCACAAGTGTAACGTAATTTGTTTATCTCTCAGGGCTAGTGTAAAGCGACCAAATTCCACCTTAAATTTACAATTCAGACTAGGGCTGCCATTCACGTAAGTTCAATAACCTGCAGTCATAAGCGACTTATTTTGATACATCTGGCAACATTATGATTTAATTGTAGTCAACCTGAATCCTTGATTAATTGAAACACTTTTATTTTTGTTTCTATTTATTTGCGGCGTTTTCAGTCCCGCAGTTTAACAAACCTGAAATAAGGAAGATTTAAATGGAGATTTAAATTAATTAAATTTGTTTCTGCCTGGCTATTATTAAGTGGCCCTTGGAATTCTAGCCTTCCAGCCAGAACACTTTGTCACAATTACGTATATTTTTCAAACTCCTAATTCCTACTCTCCTTTTACTCTCTTTCCTCTCTCTTCCCCTCTTTTTCCCCGCAACAATTCCTCCCGTTCATTCGCCTCTCCCCTACAGCGCCTAAACCATTACGACACTTGGCAACTGATAGCGCTTTTGTTTCCAGGTTATTTTCCCTTCTCGTGCCATGAGATTTTTTTAGTTCCAACTCTCTACCTCGATAAAAACTTCAAGATCAGATTGGCCTAATGAGATTCCTCATTAAATTGCTCTTTGCGTCCATTCAGCAGACCATTTTTGTAGGACGCTCATTTAACCCGGCGTGGAAATGTAAATTTCAGATCGAGATTCACTTTGTCTTATTTCCAAGTAAGTTTCCCAGAAAACACGTCAGTCTTTCATTCATAATTAGGAACAAGCCAATTTATGGAGGTAGATGTTTAGTTATTAAAATTTGAAGAAAATTTAAGTATCTAGTATCATTCTGAAATTATCATTCAAAATGTTGCTGTCTCGACTGAAAAAGCTTTACCGTTTTTATAGTTAAAACAGAAGGTGAATAATGGTTTAACACTAAACGGTGAACTCTCCATTGATTATAACGATGATTTATCATACTCAAATAATAACAATTTATATGTTAAAAGAACCTCATCATTATCCTATCATTATCTTGTCATCAAAACAACAGCTTCTGTTATCCAAGCATTAAGACAACAACTCTTGTCATCTCTCCATCACGGCAACAGCTTCTGTTATCCTACCACCGAGACAACAACACCTGTTATCCCACAATCAGAGAAGAAGATGTTAGGATAGCAGGACAACAACTCCTGTCATCCTACAATCAGAGAAGAGGATGTTAGTATAACAGAACAACAACTCCTGTTATCCTAATATTAGAGAAGAATATGTTAGGATAACAGGACAACAACTCCTGTTATCCTACAATCAGAGAAAAGGATGTTAGGATAGCAGGACAACAACTCCTGTTATCCTACCTTGAGAGAAGAAGATGTTAGGATAACAGGACAACAACTCCTGTTATCCTAGCATCAGGGCAGCAGTTCCTGTTCATATCAGAGCATACAGCCTCGCTCGTCCCCAGGCTAGCAGCAGCACGCCAATTTATGGTCATCGTTCGACAATATTATGTACGAGACAACTTACGTGCACCGTGCAACGTCGGCCTTACGGTCAATGAATACATGAATAAAGACCGCACCACCCCTATTGTAAATTATGGGCCGGTTTTTGGCGGCCGTTCTCTGCGTCTCAGGCTTCCAACATACACCCAGAAAAATGAATGGATAATGTTATACACATGTTGACACACTTTCTGCATGTAGAAATGATGCGGATTTTTGCCAGATGGGCGGGAAAGGCATCGCTATTTGAATAAAGGATTTTAAAATTTCTTAGTTCATGTTAACGCAGTCAACAGAAATACACTACAAATTATCGATGGATAACGGGTGGCTTACCACTGATCTCCGATGGCTGCTGAATAAAAAATATTATTCTGAATTCTTAAACATGTCTGGATAAAAATGTTCACTACCAGCATGTATATCTGTTCTCTTGTATTAATGCTCTACTGTTTTGGAAATTCACTTCAATAGTTTTTCAAGAAGACTAATTTCAATCATTATATATGATAGCAAATTTTAAAATTATCAATTCTTCACTTATTTGCATTGTTGGTGCATGTGTCGTTTCCTTCTATCCGCACATTTCATACGCAACAAAAAACAACGGATGTTTTCAAATTTTGTAAATAAAGAAAAATTCCTTACTAATTTAATTGAAATTCACGCATTTTCAATCGCGATTCATAGTTATTAATAAAAATATTTTAAAGCAAGCTAGAAAAATTGGCTCTTTCTTTAACGGAAGGCAGCTGATAAAATTCAAATTTGCATTGTCAGCACACAAATCGAGTCACTTGAACAAAATGCTTGATTAAAAACGATGAAGCCGAAAAAATAACAAAACAATAAATGATTTCTTGAAACTATAAACTTACTAAAACAGTAAAGGATTTCTTGAGCGCAGTCCTAAATCCCCAAACTTCGGACCGGATTAGCAAATTTTTTTGTTAGGTTATCTCAACTCTGCAGCACAGTTCCAGTGAGAAAAACTTTTAGAGTTTTTTTTATCAAATCTGAAACTTTCTTCGTCCAAAAGCTGTGAAATTTTGGAGAAGAAGCCAGTGATTTGTACGCATGAAATATCAACTTTTGTGAATCGGAAGCGACTTATGTTAAATTTTACATTGATAATATTTATTGACTTTAAAAAATTAACAATTTGTGAATTTCATGAAAAAAATTACAAATTTATGATAAATATGATGTTCAATAAATTTTCCGGATAAATTTTAAAACAAGACTCAAAACATCTTGTCAGGAAAACTGAACGCCGTTACAGTGACTGAGAATTTATTTAACCGTTTTTTTTAATTTTATTTTACGTTAATCAAATTAAATGCGTGGAAAAACGGCATTAGTCGTTTATAAACGGAAGATTTGTCATTTATTCGTGTATTTAAATAATAATGTCCTGGATGTAGCTATGAAAAAATATATACATGTATTTATAAACCACTATGTAAAAGACACCTCCCACTGCCGCTGTACTTTTACGTCAATCACAAATGCAGAACGAATAGACCAAATATGCAATTTTGCATATAAACGCATAATATATATTTGTTACTTAAATTTCTAATTTTTTTTCAGTAAATTGAAATTTTTTACAATTTACAATTTTTATTTGTACTTTTTACAACACTTCTCTTTAACTTCATTTCTTATTGTCTATCTGCTACAAATCTTATAATCGCTATTTAACACACTACTACGTACCTGTCTAAAATTTTGCACACCTGCATAAAGTTGGCGACAATGCATGATTCAATTGACAGAATGAATAATTTTGAAATTTTTAATTTTTTTAATTGTAAAAATAAAATTTAAAAATTACATTTTTTAATATTTGATAATAAAATTAGAAATTCATTCTAAATATGTAACATCGCAGACGCTGAATTCTTTAGAAGTGCTGTCTTTAAAAAGTAATTTTTAAACGCATATTATTATCTGTAAATTTTGAAGTAGGCAGCTATATGACGGCATCTTAGGTTAATAGGTTGAAAGAGGGTTAATGCAGCCCTCGCAATGGGATAAAAGCGGGTTAAATGAAAATTGACGAAAGGCAGCTGTGGGCAATAGGCCTAGGCTGTCCAGCGTGAAATAGGCCTAGGCTGGTCAGCGCCACATTATCATGTGCCTCGCAGCTGCCAATTTAAGTTGGCCTCGTGGAGGCCTCCTGGCGTCCCTCGGGGCCCATCACAGCGATGGAATCCTGGCGACAACTGCACTGCTGCCGCCCACCGCCTCATAAACTGCCTCACGATGCCTCACAAGACTGTACACCGACTCACACTCTCTTACACTGACTTACACAGAGTCTCACACTAACTCAAAACGTCTTGTACTAGTACTCTGTCTAACACTGCCTCACACTGACCAGCACTACCTCACACTGCCTCACACTGACCAGCACTACCTTACACTGCCTCACACTAACCAGTACTACCTCACACTGCCTCACACTGACAAGTATTACCTCACATTTCCTCGCTCTGCTTCACATTTCCTTGCTCTGTTTCATAACAGTTTTGCCATAGATGCACTACAACCGCATTCTTACTTTCGTTCTCGCAATTACATTCTCTTCTCATTACCCAGTCTTTCTTATACGGGTGTTTGTATGGCTTTATCAATACCTTATCGAAAGATATATAAAAATTTCGTAATGAGACTTGCAATACATGTGTATGTGACTCCGTGTTTCCCTGTCATGAGGTACTGAAATATTGAAAGCAAATTCCGTAGACTTTTTGGGTCCACAGTTAACCTAGGCAGTAATATACCGAGATATCCTAAATGATATGTGATGCAATTAGTACCATTCAGAAAGTTACAATGAGTATTATCGAATTTTGAAGATATTAACACTTCTATTTTTTAATTTTTTATCTGTTATTTATATATACATAATCGAATTGAAAATATTAATATACATAGTGAGACGAAATCACATTTAATTAAGGGAGATTTCAAGGCAGCTCCTTTAATTTACACCCTAATTTCATCATATTTTTCATCCATTTTTGCAATTGATATCGGATTTACTAAATGTTTATGGTAGAAAAACTCGGTGTATATAATAATATTACTTAATCTCTCATAAAAACTCGATGCATATAATAATATTGCTTAATTACTTGTAAAAATTCAGTGTATACTAATAATCTTACTTAATCTCTTGTAAGAACTCGGTTTGGCCGAGCAAGTTCTAGAACTACTCACTGTACACTCTGATGGACCCGTCTGTCTGGCCCAGGGAGTTCTAGAACTACTCACTGTACACTCTGATGGACCCGTCTGTCTGGCCCAGGGAGTTCTTGGCTATGCAGGAGTAGTTGCCGAAGTCCCCGTCTCGTATGCGGTGGATGCGCAGCTTCATGTAGATCTTGTACGAGCTCTCGATCAGGATGCTCTCGTAGTGGTCGTCTGGGTGTAGTGAGAAAAAATTGTTCTAATAAAAACATATTTTTTTTATTTTCCACATTGGAAAAAATTATTAATTCATTTGGAAATTTAAAAACAAAATCAAGATCATGTGAGAGGTAAATATTAGACTCCTGCGTTTGGTATTTTTTTTAATCCGAGACGAGACGAGACGAGACAACAGGCTCTGTCCACGTTCGCAATAAAAACCGGGACAATTTTCAGCCTTCCGTTGGAATTCCGGGACGATACCGAGACGAGACGAGACGTCCCGGTTAAAATAGGTACCTTAAAATTTCCCGGAATTTACAGCCATTTTAACGAGACATAACGAGACTAATCAATT